CAGCAAAACACAGATAATGTTCTTACCATCAAGTTTCATGATAGGTCTATTCTCTCTAAGTTTTAGCTAACGGAGTAAAATATGAACTGCTGAGCGTAAATTTGCTATGTTACGCGTTTGTAAGACTGAGACAACAAATATGCGCCCTCTTAAGAGAATACTGTAATTCTGTAACAGTGTAACACCACATTCCTTCGCCTTCATTTTTCGAATTTCTTATAATGAAAAAAATTTGTTTTGTTTTAAAACATATAAGCTAAGATTTGTTACAAAATAAAAATACATCAATTTTTCATTGTCTGAGAATAATCGTTGATATTATAAATTTAAAACATGGTAAATGAGGAGGATATTTATTTGTAATTATACTTTAGTCTAAATTAGCGTTTCCCAACCGGTGTGCCGAGAAAAATCATGATTATTAATACGATCAATGCCATTCCCTGGTTTTTCGAGGCCCTGGACTTACAATATTATATGCTAAAATGTTAGGAAATATTTTATTTACATTATACTATATATTATATATTGTATATAGGTAGGTACGCGAGGCCCTGGGCTTGTGTCCCGTTGGCCCTACCCTCGAGGCGGCACTGAATACACGATTACTTATAATTTCGATAATAAGTAAAAATAACTTTTACGATTCTCTTACTCTAATATGAGGATGTGGTGTTTGTGAACTATTTGAATACAGTGGAAACTAGTGCCAAATTTCTAACTCTGACTAGATTTTTATATCTAATATAAACATAACAAGATCATAACACAGTCTCCGTTTTTCAATATTAATAAATTTCATATTTTTAATATGATGAAAGCCTAACGTCCTAACATCGGTTAGGACTAGTTTGCCGTGAAGGAAAAAGGTTGGGAAACGCTCAGGTCTAAATATAATCACACAGTGAGAGAGATATAAAATATGGGTTTTTTTTTATTGGAGATGTAGTATTGTTAATATCATGATGACAATGACATAATTTAATCTAAATAGGGATTTAAGAAAAAGTGAGATACACATAGGATCAAATTGTATTTATTATTTTTATTTTTATATGGGTATAACAGAAAAGTTGAATTTTAAATCACGAAGACAAACATAATTAAGGATAATTTTATGAATGCCGAATGGTAATTAAAATATAACAAAGTTTTAGTGCATATCATATATATTTATATATTTATTTTGTTCCAATAGGTTAATACCATAAAACCAAATTACGCAGATGACAATATTTGATTAAAATACAATAATATCAATGATAATAAATAAACAATAATATATAAAAGCAACATTGAGGATTAAGTATAATTCTATAATGACTAAATATAATATAATATATAAACAAACATGTAAGTTAAGAGTTAATTCAGTACAAATGATGGTCAACCCAGGAGTGACAAAATATTAATACTACATTTCAAGTTCACTAACTTTTATACCTTTCATTAATAATAATAAATAATAAGTATAACATAAAATCAGTACTGCGAGAATAAGATAAAAATAAAAATAAATATTGTTATATATTTAAATGTTTAAAAGAATAAGGTGTTGACAGTCTTATACACTTAGCGTGGCCACACTTTAAACAATCAGAGGTAAAAATTTTACTTAACGACAAATATCACAGTAGTTGTACATCAATATTGTTACATGCATTTTTTATAACTACATAAATTAATATGTATTTTTTCTTCTTAAATTTTGATGATTGAATTGGAATCAATAAAAAAGTAGAAAAAAAGAAAAACAAGTCTGGTCTAAATAAAAGATATTTTACTTAATAATATTATGAAACTCCTCTTATTAATGTCTTTATATTTATTATTCAMAGTAATTTCATAAGAGCATTATTTTAATTTTTATAATTATGTATCAATTGGATTTCAATATTAAGTATTACTTACTCAAATAAAAAAAAAAATCAWATACTCTTCACCTGATAATACAACCATATAAGTATATAATTAACATGTTTAATTATAGAAATAGGGTTTTAAGGGCAAGTAATAATAATATGAATTTTGACTACACAAATATATAATATATAACAATAATAGAAAAGAGAGAAAAACTAAGTCCAGAAATCATCAGAAAGAAATACTATTGAGATTGAAAATGAATAGATTGTCATGTCAATAAATTTGATTAAGTAATGTGTAAAATTAACTGAAGTGTGATCTCGCATGATTTATTACATTTGATTTTAAGGTAATACATTCAACATAAATATTGATGATATCATATTAAATAATGATAATCATAATAAATCAAAAAAACAAAATATTGTAAAGATTGTACATCATCATATTGTTAACATACGTTGTATATATATATACATATTATATTATAAATCCAATAAATATATATCTATATATCTATCACAAAAAGTATAAAGGTACATTTAGCCATTAACTATAATATGTATAAATATATATTATACTATGTGTAATAATAATCTAACAAAATATGAAAAATTAATWCAAAGAATGTTAAACAAATAGAAATTATAATAATAAACCCATTGAGCTAACCATTTATAATTAAAAAAAATAAATGCAATCTACATTCTATAAATCTATTATCTTAATAGTTGAACAAGAAAAAAATAAAATTTATTAATATGTACAGCTATTAGGTTAATGTAAATTCTATTAAAATTATTAAAATTAATATTTTTTTCTTAATATAAGTTAGTAATTTTTAATATGATTTAATATATCTAATTTTAGCTAAAATTTATAATTATGAACTATCATATACAGCATATATAGGAATTGATAAAAAAAAAAAAAAAAATACATCATCATTTTGGTTATTATACTTGTATATTATATTTGTACCGACACCCTAAGAAAGGAACTCTTATAAATTTCAGTTAATGATTGACCCAAATGATTAACTTCTTGTAAACATGCATATACAATACATTATGTATTCTTTTATGGTGCTTAAATTTTTTAATTTAAAGTATATCACATTAAAACTTATAAAAAATGTGTTTAGCCAAGTGCTTTAAAATTTAAATATTATTATTATTATAAAAATGTGTTTTATTATTTTATGGTCCAAAGATAATCATATGTATAATAACATATTTTAAAACTTGTCATTTTTTTTAATTATGTTAACTAACTAAACAATGAGCATTATACATAAATATAATGGAACTAAGTCAAATTAATTAAGCTAATCTCTTCTAAAAATGGGTTTAATATTAATATAGATAATTTTGCATAAGAGTTCAAGGCAAAAAATGTATAATGCAAAAAAACACATATATATTTTTTAATTCAGCATGATTATGTTACTGTGAATATAAGTAAAACTCAAATAAAAAAATAAGTTGTAAAGTCCCTGTAAAGTATAAGAATAAAATCTAATAAATAGCTTATGTATTAATACACTACTATTTATGGCTATTATYGTATAGTAATCACAAAGGCGCATCTAAAATCTAAATTAACAATTAACATTATGTAATTAAATATTAAAACTATCAGATATATAAATATATAATATATTGATTATTATATAAATATTATTATGATTGAAATAAATACAGGCTAAAATAATGTCATATTTTGTACTTGTTGATAAAAATATTAAATAAGAATATCGAAACATTAAATCATATGTATTTTGTATATAATATTATTTTAAGGAATCATTATAATTTTAAAAAGTGCATATTATTTTACTAATAATAAAAATAAATAGATCAGAATGAAAATGCATTAGAATATATTTTATGATCAATTCATTTCAATCATTGAATAATATTGTAAAAATATCTAATTCATAACCATAAGGCAAATTGTTACAAATACTATCACCAAACATTTTCCCTAAATTAAATATCATTAAATAATTTTTTACTAGGAAAATTCGGAATATTTAAAATTTAGTATTTAAATAGATGGTTAATAATGTTGTGACTAAACAATTAGCCAATTTATATAATACTTTATTTTAAAAATAAATAAATTGAATCGAAACGCAGCCAATTTGCATAACAAAAATAGCTTTTGATATTTAAATCTATGTTTAAAAAATATATTTTTCTATGTACAAATATATCTAACACCGAAATACATATATAAATTAAAAATATGTATAGCTAGGTTAAAACCTTTTATGTGAAAAATTTTGGAATACCGCAAGTCAACTACAATTATGCATGCAGTTTTAAAATTATTAACCATATTTTAAGATATATACCAGAAAGTTATATTTTTATAATTTATAATTGGCAATAATGGTATTGTAACTCAAAATAACATCAAATTGACAATGATCATAGTTTATACTAAACACCAAATTTAATAGTGTCAAAATTAATTTATTATTACTTTAAATAAATTCTGGTTAATATAAAAATACTAATATTTTAGCAAATATCCCAATCAATTTAATCAAATTAATCTTTGAAATTATATCATAAGTATTTAAAATAATTACTTTGTATACTTTATTAACAATACTT